GTCTCACTTTGTTGCCCAGGCTAGAGTGAGTGCCATGGCGTCAGCCTAGCTCACAGCAACCTCAAGCTCCTGGGCTCAAGCAATCCTGCTGCCTCAGTCTCCCGAATAGCTGGGACTACAGACATGCGCCATCATGCCTGGCTCATTTTTTTCTATATATATTAGTTGACCAATTAATTTCTTTCTATTTATAGTAGAGACGGGGTCTCGCTCTTGCTCAGGCTGGTTTCAAACTCCTGACCTCGAGCAATTCACCCGCCTCGGCCTCCCAGAGTGCTAGGATTATAGGCATGAGCCACCGCGCCTGGCCCTCATTATATTTTTAAATACACACAAGGAAAGAGTTAACAAATTTACCTTAATGTGAGTATTACATTTTCAAATAATTGAGATATCCATAACAGAAAAAATGTCTTATGTTCCAAAATTATATTCTAAAATAGACCTTAGCGCTATCAAATTAGTCTTCAAAAAAGAAACTTTTCTTCCAATGTGATGTGTTTGGGAGTGTCAGAGAGAAAAGAAAAAAGAGAAGTAACATTTTTAAGATCTACTATGTGCCAAATATTTACTAGTTCATGATATAACATATTTAAAGTGCTTAATACTGTATATGTCTTTCCATATAAACAGATCTTTAATTATAATGTAGCATATCTGAAAAAGGTACCAGAACCCCAGATACCCCTACTTTGAAATAAGCAATCTAGTACGTGGAATACATAATGCAAATAACTACATACTAGCAAAATGTATGTACCATTTGATATCACAGCACTGGCTTTTGTATCACTTTAAGGTAATGGGTTAGTTTTGTATTTTTAGTGAAATCATTATTATTTTCTAGAGATCATAAATTAAGCTTATAACTACTTAGTAAGAGCTATCATTAGCTCGAAAATTTTCAAATAACTATTTTGTTTAAATCTTATCTAAAGTATGGAATTGAGAAGAAAAATTGGAATGGATTTGATTCTGAAAAAAAAATTTAATAAAATTGTTTGAGTGACTTCAACTTGATTTGAAGCTCAAAAATCTTCTTATAGTGACAAATACTATTAAAGGATGATTAGAAATTTAGAAAATCATACTTTAATGGCCACTTTCATGTAATAATGGATGAAAGCAAGAATCATCAATGGATACTAAAACAATTGGCTGAAAGATTGTTGACTACAAGATAGTCAAAGGAGACCGGGCGCAGTGGCTCAAGCCTGTAATCCTAGCACTCTGGGAGGCCAAGGCGGGCGGATTGCTCGGAGTTCGAAACCAGCCTGAGCAAGAGCAAGACCCCGTCTCTACTATAAATAGAAAGAAATTAATTGGCCAACTAATATATATGTAAAATTAGCCGGGCATGGTGGCGCATGCCTGTAGTCCCAGCTACTCGGGAGGCTGAGGCAGAAGGATTGCTTGAGCCCAGGATTTTGAGGTTGCTGTGAGCTAGGCTGACGCCATGGCACTCACTCTAGCCTGGGCAACAAGCGAGACTCTCTCTCAAAAAAAAAAAAAAAAAAGTCAAAAGGTCTCAAACTATCACTCCACTGTCTACTTACGAATCATAAAATGGAATATGAGTCTTTATCATTGAGAGATATAGCAGACACCCTTTTAACAAATGGTCGAGCTTGGCATTCCCAATAGTGGGATGGCCTGGCATCCTGTATCTCCTGATATTGGGATGTCTTCCATAAAACCCATGTGACAATCTTGTCGGAAATGTTTGACCAGGATCTATTCAGAAATAAACAGTTCATAAATCCAGAACATGAGATGCTCTGTCAAAAAACTGACCTAGACTACTGAAAGGATTCAATGGTGATAAGAGCAGAGAAAAGGTCAAGAAACAGTTTTAGGTGGAGGGAATCTAAAGAGACATAACAACCAGTGCATGATTGGTTACTGTATTGTTTTCCTCTTTTTAAAAGGAATATAAAGTACATTTTTGGAACAATTGGAAAAACTTGAGTATAAACTATATGTTGCATTATATTCTTGAATTAGTATTGTATTTCTATTTGTAGTAACAGTGATGGAGTTGTATAAAAGAATTTCTTTATTCTTGGGAGATGGAGATCACAGTAAAGTACTTGGGTTAAATGTCACGATGTATGTCTGCAATCTACTTTGGGGTAGCTTGGCAATATGTGGTAGGTGTGGGAATATGTGGGGTGTATGTGTGCACAGAAAGAGATTTGAGCAGTGTGGAAAAAGTGATAGGATACACAGGTGTTCATTACACTGTTTTTTCAACTTTTCTAAGTATTTGAAATATTCAAAAATAAAAAAATTTATTTCTTCCTTTTTAATTCAAAAATATAATTTTGGTGAAGAAATTTATCTTTCTACCTTGTTGAAGAGAATAGAAACATAGGAGAATATAATTATCCTTCAATCAAGTTACCATATTTATTACATTTTCTTAACTTTGATGATTCAAACAATATGTCACGTGGCTAAGACTGAAATTCCATAGGCTTCTTTCTTGATCATCTAGGTATAAAAAAGGAATGCTGCAATTCCACGGTAATTTGTTTAACTTTTTTGATTCCTTTCTATTTTCACTGCTGTATTCTATTAGTTTCCCATTTGAAATTCTCCTTCAAGTAGAATTGTAGTGCTATAGGGTTTTATCCCCAAGTAAAACACTCCAAACTGAAATACCCCAAATGATAGCATGTTTATCAAACTCGTAAGTGACTTAAACAGTAGGAGGCATACACAATATACTGGAGTGAATTGATCACCAAAATAAGATACATAAAATTTTGTAGGAATAAATTAAAAAGTGCCATATTTAGGTTCAATAGATCTAGTACAAGATCCAGTACAGGGAGACTTGGGTAGGTAGCAGTACTATATTTGCAAAAAACAACTCTGGATTTACTAAGGGGAAAATAAAATGACACTTTTACCAAAGACAGCATCTATGAACTATTGAGCAAAAAAGAATCCATATTCAAAGAACACAAGAGAAAGAAGTGTTTGCTCACTGACAGAACAGTGTAATGATTTAACAACTATAGAAATAAGAAGACAAATAAACTGAAAATATTTTATAAATATATTCTCTATAAGGACAGAAGCTCTAGTAATATTTGTCTTACAGAGACTAAGCTAAAGTTGCAAAGAAATTTTGAAAGCACTGGTAACACTGGGTTGGCAAACTATAGTCTACAGGCCAAATCCAGACCATCATCTGTTTCTGTGCGTCCTGTGAGCTAAGAATGGTTTAAACAGATGCATATCCTGTGAGCTAAGAATGGTTTAAACAGATGCATATGTGTATCAATTTAATGACAGAAAACATGAACTTCTAACTCCAATTAAGGAAAACGTCATTCCCTCCAAAAATTCTATCCTTCTCATTAATAGACCTATATTGTTCTCATTTATTATTACAATTTACATCTCATTATTAAAAAATTTGTGGCATTAGTTTTCTTATTACCTAAATATCTGTATAACATACTTGATTATGCCTCTTGGCCTGAACAAGCCTAAAATTTTTACAATGTGGGCCTTTACAGAAAATGTTTGCCAACCCCTGTTCTCTTAAATAAAGCTTTAAAGAGGGAGTCAGTGAAAACTGCTGAGGCCGTAAGAGGAGCCTAGTCCCAATGAGACCAACAAATTATTACCAACCTTGTTAGTGAGGAAGGGTTGGCGGTTGAGCTAGACTCATGTTTGCACCATATACTCGAAGTGAACAGGGCCTGCCAATTAGTTGTCCATAAGTACAATTATGTTTTTAAAGACATATACTCATTGAATTATTTTCAAAATATTCCCTTTTTGTTTTTAAAATGCTAAATACAGAACCTCAATCAGAGGTATTGTTTGTGAACAGGAACATCTGAATTTAGACAGACCCTAATGATCATCAACCACTTGGATGAAATCAAAGCTAGGAGTCAGAAAATTTCTCTTTTGGATAGGGTGATAGAATGTACCACAAAACCACCATAACTCAAAGATCCTGTGACCCATCTGAAAAACAACTAATAACCAGGAATAAGAAAAAGAATCATGAGAAAACCAAGTATCACAAAGTCTGCATTCAAGTGTATGCACTTGACTAACAAGAGAGATCTTTAGCTCTGTCAGAACTTCCATGTTTTAACTACACACAACTTTACTAAGCATAGATACGTGGTTTTCAAACAACGCCACAGCAAACTATGAATCTTAGGCGATTTGCAAGAAAAAAAAAAAACCCAGAGCAAACTAGAAGCCCTAAAATAAAACTGGGTGAAGACAGTATGCCACAAGCAACAAAAACAGCAACAGAAAGTCTGCCAGGAACAGAAAAGGCAAAAAAACTAAAAAGCAGACATAAATACTTAAAAAGTATAGCAGTGTAGAACAAATTAGTATGGAAGCAAGTAGTCCCAAATGCCTCAATAGGCCCTGAGGACATCACTCTATTAAAATATATTTCAGCATTGATATTCATTTTAATGATCTTAAGATAAAATCAAGACAAAACTTCATTCTATATAAATGAGTAAATCAGAGACCAGAGAAATACAATTCCCAAACGGTTTGAAATCAGTGGTTACAACAATGATTTGGTACTTAAAAGGGTAAAAATTAACATGGTCATAGACAGCTGAAATTTAACTACGGTGTTTCCCCCCAAACAAGATAGGGTCTTATATTTATTTTTCCTCAAGAAGACATCCTAGGGCTTATTTTCAGGGGATGTGTTATTTTCCCCTCAAAGCCTCAGCTTGCAGCACACACAGGATGGCCAGGACCTGACAGGGGGAGCCAACCTTGTTGGTGGGGCAGCCCACACCTTTCCAGTCACCTGGGGGATAGCAGCTATCACCACCAGGCAGATGAGAAGGGCTGCTCCTCTCCTTTCCTGCTCTGCCACGAATTGCGTGGGTTGTGCAGATATGCTGCGTAGCCACGCCCAGCACTAGGTCTTATTTTCCGGTAGGGCTTATATTGCGCAAATGCTTAGAAATCCTTCTAGGGCTTATTTTATGGCTAGGTCTTATTTTCAGGGAAACATGGTATGTATTATTAATCTTCTTGATAAAATTATTATATGTTTCAAGTACAATAATACTTAATTTTGTTTTCCTAAAGGCAAAAATACATACCTAATTGTGTAGTAAGACAAAGTGTACACATTTCTGAATCACTGTCCATAAACTAGGATTAAAATAACCGGAAGTATAAGGATCAAAATACTGAAACATCATTCCTTAAATGCTTAAAAATTAGTCTTTATTTGTACATTTGGCATAGGATAAAGGTGAGCCCATTTTAGATAGGATTACAAAGTAAAAGTATCAAGAAGTTATCAGGCAATCTTGTAGGTAAATACTAAGACTGGTATCTCCAAGTATTGATTAAAATAATCATTTCGAAACTTTTGTGAAATGTGGAAAGTGATCAGCTAGAGTTGATACAGAATGCAGTGGCTCGGATCCTCCAACTTTGTGGCAGAGAAAGGTTAAGAGGTAGCTTGGGTTTCTCCAGTACCATTACCCGAACCAACCAGCTCACCGCCCCGCACCACGGGACGTCCTTTCCCCACATGTGGGGGTGAGTCTCCCGGGCTTGCACGACCGGCCGCCGGCTTCTGCTGCCCTGGCACCCCTCTGGCAGTCAGGGTTCTGCTTAGTATGCCTGACGCCCGAAAAGGAGTCTCAACAGCGCAAAACCGTGAAGGGTCCTTTCACCAGTACCTGCTCACCTGCTTTCGGATGTGCGGTTGCCTAAGAGTGGCTCCCGTTCAGCCTCCATCCCCAAGTTCGCCGTCGTTACAGCCCCAACAAGGAGGCGTGGGGCCAACTCTCGCGACACCTGGTCCCTCCCATCCCGAACGCCGTGAAGTTGTCAAAATAGGCCTGCAAGTGCGCGTGCGCACCTGGTGGCCAGAAGTGGGCGGAGCGTCCCGAGGCCAGAGGCGGGGTTTCGCGGGAGGCCCGGCAGCACAGCGCGAAAGGGGGTAAGGGGCGTGGCTCGGTGTCCTCCGCCACTTCCCGCGGTCTCCGCCTCTCAGCCTGCGGGACTTAGAGCCGGGGAGGGCTCGGGGGGCGGGTGGGAACGGTCGTCCTTCCCCGGGCTCATCCTCCTCGCTCCTCGGTTCCTGGAAAGGCTACGGTCGCTGTGGCTGGGGCTCGGACGAAAGTCGAGTCCCAGGAGCCCCGAGAGCGGCAGTGCTGGGAGGCCCGGCCTGCTCGACCGCAGGCGTCCTCCGGCTACCAGTAAGTATCCGGCGCAGGCCGCGAGCCCCGCGCCTCTCAGCGTTCTGTGTACGTGCCGGGAGGCAGGAACTGAGGGCGCGGGGCTTGGCCAGAGATTCGCGGGCCCGGACGCGTCGTGAGGCTGCGGGCGAGACTAGGCTGGCATCTGGAACGCGCTCTGTGTGGCCGGGGTGAGGTGGGGTGCAGTCCCTTTACCCAGTGGAAGGTGGAGGTGGCTGCGAACTCTCCTTCTCTAGCTCGGCTAACTACAAAGGAGCCTTACCTGTAGTGCTTGTCAGGGCCGGGCCCGAAGGGTCCGCTGCTTCTAACCTACTGGGCCCTGGAGCCGATCCTCACCGCCGCCAACCTCTACTGGGGGTCTGAGTCTTGCAAAAATGCCACTCAGCGGAGCCTGCTATTGTCACCTGGAAGTTAGAAAAGGCACAGCACCTGATTAGGAATGACCAGCTCCTGTCATCACAAGGAAGATGACATTTTTGGAAATATGTTCGGTTTTTTTCACTAGATTCTGATGCTGTTTCTTTCTTGGTGGTTACATATTAACATCTTATCCCTACAATTAAGCTTGCGGGCTATTTGGTGGCGGTAGGCATTATGTGTTTCATAAATTACCGTTTTACTAGCGTTAAATACATCTCCTGTGATTTCATTTGATCACGAGATAGGTAGAGCAGACACATTTCTATTTCACCAAAAAGTAAGGTCCAGAGAAGTTAATCTAAGAGTCACTTGTTGTGGAAATGGCGCCGTTGGGACCCAAACTCAATTCTTTTCAACTAATATTTATGAGCACTTACCTTATGCTAGGTCTTACACTAGTTACATGTTGTGTGTGGTGTATGCCGTCACATCGGATCTTTGTCTCATTTGTGACTTTCTTGTGTGTAGCCAATCACTGGTAAACAGGCAGACTTGAAATGTGTTTTCTATTAGTTAAGAATTATCTTCTGAATACAGACCTGATATTTTTAATACTTGGATTCAGTCTTGCAAATTCATCTGTAAGCTCACAAAAACATGTCAGATTCCTATAATTAGTTCCAAGAAAATATATAGGTATAAACTTTAGTATTTTCTCTACATAATGTATCGCAGTCTTTGGAGGCTAAGTGTATGGTGCTTATGTAGTGGGCAGAGGAACTTTTAACTTTTTACACTAAGCAGAATGGTTGCCAGATAAGTATGTGTTAGATAAATGTTTATTTATTAATAATTACCTCATTTCATCCTTACAACAATCCTCTGAGGTGGGAATTATCTCAAGTATACAAGATAATTGAAGGCAAGGAGATTAAGTAACTCGACTAGGGTCCTAGGGTAGTACAACTAACAAACAACAGAGCTGGAATTCAAGAAACATAGGACTCCTAACTGTAAAGCCTGTGTGCTCTTTACACCAGGCTTCCTGTGAGAAGAATGACAAGAAGAATCTTTTCCCATAGCTCTTTAAAAATGTCAAAATAGGGGCCAGGTGCAGTCACACTTGTAATCCTAGCACTTTGGGAGGATGAGGAGGGAGGATTGAGGCAGGAGGATCACTTCAGCCCACAAGTTCAAGACTAGCCTGGGCAATAGTGAGGTCTCATCTCTACAAAAAAATAAAAACTTAGTGGGGCATGGTGGTGCATGCCTGTAGTCCTAGCTACTCAGGAGGCTGAGGCAGGAGGATGGCTTGAGCCCAGGAGTTTGAGGTTGCAGTGAGCTATGATAATGCCACTGCATTCTAGCCCTAGCAACAGAGCGAGACTCTGTCTCAATAAAGAAATAAAGAAAGAAATAAACAAATAAATCAAAACAGGTATTTAATTTTTATGTAAATGAAATAATTTGCTATTATGTTTTAGGCCAGGTATTATTTCCTGTTTATAGGTTAAGGTGGCTTACTCAAGGTCACCTAGCTAGTGGGAACCCTAGTCTTCTGACATTGCTTTTTTCCATTGCTATCTCCAAGTGATGACTTCAGACCACAGAAGCACGTGGAATGAGTACATGTACAGCTGGTGAGATCTAAATAAGCTCTGTGTATTGTACCAATGGAAAAAAAAGAAAAAGTATTTCTTACGAACACACACACATAGCATCCAAAGTAAACATATATTTTTTTAAGGCCCATGGAAAAGAAGAACTAAATTTGAAAAGAAATTAGATTATTTGCTCAATGTCTCACACAAGGATATGAGACAGTCCATTTGTTGGATTTCTTTACATGACTGCCCAGAATAGATGTCTGTGTCCCTTCCAAACAAATAAACAAACAAACAAACAAACTTCCTATTTTCCTACTCCTCTTTAGTGTAAGATTAAAAGGAATTAAATTTGTGCCTAGGATAGTAGATTTTTAAATTTTCCTTTTATTTCATTATATTATGGGGGTACAAATATTGTTAGGGTTACATATATTGCCCCTGCCACCCCTCCTCCCCCGCCATGCCAGAGCTTCAAGCACGTCCAACCCCCTGGTGGTGCACACCGCACCCATTATGTAAGTATACACCCTTCCTCCCCTCCCCCCTCCCACCTACCCACCACCCAATAAAAGTTTTTTGTTGTTTTTTTTTTTTTGACATTTTGGTTACATTGTATATCATTGCCTCTCCCTAAGAAGGGTTAGAAGTATTCCCTTCCCCCTGACAATGCTCACCACATCCCTAGGATGTGGGTCTCCCCACCCCCCACAATCCCTGGTGAATACTACCACCATTTGAGCACCATATTTTTAATCAGTCAGTACCAATTTGATGGTGAGTAGATGTGGAGCTCATTTTCCTGATTTTGTGTCGCCTCACTTTGTATAACGGGCTTAAGCTTAATCCAGGATAGCATAAATGGTGCTAGCTCACTGTAGTTTCTTAGAATTGAGTAATATTCCATTGTGAGCATATACCAAATTTTAATTATCAACTCTTGAATTGACGGGCACTTGGGTTGTTTCCATGACCTTGCAGTAGTGAATTGTGCTGCCATAAACACTCGGGTGCAGATGTCTTTATAATAAAATGTCTTATGCTCTTTGGGGTAGATGCTCAACAATACTATTGCTGGGTCGAATGGTATTTTTATTTCTAGCTGTTTCAGGTATCTGTAAATTCTTTTCCACAAAGGTTGCACTAATTTGCAGTCCCACCAGCAGTGTAAGAGTGTTCCTGTCTCTGCACATCCTTGCCAGCATTTGTTGTTTTGGGTTTTCTTTATACAGGCCATTCTCACTGGGGTTAGGTGGTATCTCATTGTGGTTTTGATTTGCATTTCTCTGATGATTATAGATGTTGAGCATTTTTTTTATATGTTTGCAGGCCATTCTGTCTTCTTTGGAGAAGTTTCTGTTCATTTCCATTGTCCATTTCTTAATGGGGTTGTTTGATTTTTTTCTTGTTAATTCTTTTAAGTTCTAGATAGACTCTTGGTATTAGACCTTTATCAGAAGTGTAGAGAGCAAATATTTTCTCCCATTCTGTGGGTTGTCTATTTGCTCTACTGATAGTTTCCTTGGCTGTGCAGAAACTTTTTAATTTGATCAGATCCCATTTGTTTATTTTTGATGCTGTAGCGATTGCCTTGGGGGTCTTCCTCAAAAATTCTTTGCCTAGACCAGTGTCTGATAGGGTTTTCCCAACATCATCTTCTAGGATCCTTAAGGTTTCATGCCTTAGGTCTAAGTCTGTTATCCATCTTGAGTGAATTTTTGTGAGAGGTGAGAGGTGGGGATCCTGATTCAATCTTCTGCATGTAGCTAACCAGTTTTCCCAGCACCATTTATTGAAGAGGGATTCTTTTCCCCATTGTATATTTTTGTCTGCTTTATAAAAGGTTAGGTTACCATATACTGATGGTTTCATCTCTGGTATCTCAGATCTATTCCAAGTATCGATGCTTCTGTTCTTGTGCCAGTATCAGGCTGATTTAACTATTATTGCTTACAGTAGAGCTTGAAGTCAGGAAGACTGATGCCTCCCACTTTGTTCTTTTTACTTAAGATTGCTTTGGCTATATGAGTTTTTTTTCTGGTTCCATACAAAGTGAAGAATCATTTTTTCTAGATCTGTATAGAATGCTGGTGGTATTTTGATGGAGATTGCATTAATTCTGTAGATCACTTCAGGTAATACTGACATTTTAACGATACTGATTTTAACAGAGGATATCTGAGGTATCTTTACCTACTTAAACTTGGATAGAAGTGATCTAAAAGTGAAGTCACAAGATAAAAATTTAGGTCTTTCTTTTTGGTGGGGTATTACATTCTTATACATAGTGGTATTTTTTAAAATTTCATTTTTGCCTTTGAGATACATATAAACAATTTGAGGTTTAAAGTCTAGAAAAAATTAGGGTTGTGTTGTTTAAATACTTAGATCCCAGAGTGATAGGAGATAAAAGTACTAGATGGTATAATAGAGTGTCACTTTAGCAATAGAGCTCATTTCTAGGAAAGGCTTTATATTCTTTGGCACTGTGCTAGAACTATTTTTGTTTCACTTTGTTTTTCCCTTTCACATTGGCTATATAAAAACATAGATGACACCTGTGTCAGTTTGGCTGGTTACATACTTCAAACGTGGGTCCTGTTTCTGCAGAAGTTCATTGTTAGTCCAGTCTGATGTAGGGGCTTTAAGTACCCAGCATGCCTCCAGATGGTGCCTCCTTTTGGTAAATTGGAGTTATTTTTACTCTGGGCTTGGATTATTATCTGTTCCTAGTGGCACTGGTATCCTGAACCAAACCTGCCCTGCTTAGAAAGACCGTTGTATTTAGAGGGTCCCAGCAAAATCTCATCTTTTAGGTTGTTCTTGGGACTAAAATGGAATTTAAGAAGATCTGTAATACACCAAACCCCAGAGCAAAACTTATAGTAAGATATATGTGTGTTTGATTTCCTTTCTGTGCCTCATTTGTAAACAACTGGCAGGTAAATATAGCAAGGGATATGCGAGATCTAGATTTGGAATGCTGACTTTTGTGGCCTGTTACACAGGGAATTAAAGTGATTTGGGAAGGTTTTCTAATGTGGGATTAAAAATTAGGAGTAACTAAACAATTTAGGCACATAATAAAATAGAACTTTATAAAATATTTGAATAGTTAAGCACCTAGGAATGTGCTTTCTTGATTTCCTTGCAATGTTCTACTTCTCTATACTTTTTCTTTGGTTTTATCTACTACTGACCTAAGAGAATATTGAAGTTTAGAAAAATGGAATATGTCATAAGCAGTGTATTACCTTTCTTCTTACTATAAAATATGAGTATTGGATTTTTTATTTTGATTTCTTTTACTATCATGGAATCTGTTTATTGCTGTTGATGCCATGGATGTTACAAAGGAAGATATTAACCCTTGTTCATCTCCTGCCACTGTCAAGAAAATAAATGGCCTATAATACTTGTGAAAGGTAATGAAGTCCTACATTATAACATTCTACTGTTCTACTGCAGTTTAATAAATATGCACAAAAGATCTATCAGTGCTACATATTTTAACAATTCCAGAAAAACCCAAAAAGTAAAATAATTAAAATCATCATTCATCACCCAGAATTATCTTTCCGTATGCCATCTAATTCACTCAACTCCCCACATATATCCAAAGAGTTGGCCTCTTATTTGAAATATGTAACACTAGTCAGAATTTTGGTAATTGGGTAAAGAATTAACTATTTGATTTCTATGCCAAATGGGTATACCTCAATTCAGTTCTGATACTAGCCACTTAGAGTTAGTGCAGACCCCACAAGTTAAAGGTTCAGTCCTTCAGACTCACGTCAGGGGTCTCCAGGGCACTCACCTTTCTGTCCAACTTGGCTACAAATTTTGGGGTTCTTAAGACCTCTGTGGGTCAGTAATTTGCTAGGATGACTCACAGAATTTAGGAAACTGCTGTACTTAAAATTATAGCTTTATTATGGCTACGACTCAGTAACAGCCCAATGAAGAGACACATGAATGTTTGCCCAAATGAAGTGAAAGCTTATATCCACTCAAAGACCTGTACATGAATGTTTACTGCAGCTTTATTCATAATTACTAAAAACTAGAAGCAAACAGGCATCCTTCAATAGGTGAACAGATAAACAAATTGGTATATCCACACAACGGAATATTATTAGGAGATAAAAAGAAAAGCTAAGCCAGGCGTGGTGGTGCACAGCCGTAGTCCCAACTACTCAGAGGCAAGAATATCGCTTTAGCCCAGGAGTTTGAGTCCAGCCTAGGCAACATAGTGAGGCCTTGTCTCTAAAAGAAGAAAAAAAGAAATGAGCTATCAAACCACCAAAAGACATGGAGGAACCTGAAATGCATATTGCTTAATGGAAGAAGACAGTCTGTAAATGGTACATGCAGTGTAATTCCAATTATTAATATATAACATTCTGGGAAAGGCAAAACTGTGAAGACAGTAAAAGAACCAATGGTTGTCAGAGGTTCAGGGAGAAGGGAGGAGGGATGAATAGGTAAAGCACAGAGGACTTTTAGGGTATTGAAACTATTCTGTATCATACTGTAATTGTAAATACTTGACATTATGCATTTGTCAGAACCCACAGAACTATACAAAATAATCCTAATATAAATTAGACTTTAATTAATCATAATGTATTAACATTGAGTTCGTGAACGGTAACAAATGTACCACAAATGTTAATAATAGGAGAAACTGTGGAGTAAATGGGAAAGGGGTATGTGGGAACTCTATTAACTGCCCAAGTTTTCTGTAAACTTAAAACTGTTATAAATAATAAAGACTACGGCCAGGCATGGTGGCTCACGCCTGTAATCCTAGCACTCTGGGAGGCCAAGGCGGGAGGATCGCTTGAGGTCAGGAGTTCGAGGCCAGCCTGAGAGACCCTGTCTCTACTAAAAAATAGAAATAAATTAGCTGGACAACTAAAAATATGTAGAAAAAATTAGCTGGGCATGGTGTCACATACCTGTAGTCCCAGCTACTAGGGAGGCTGAGGCAGGAGGATTGCTTGAGGCCAGGAGTTTGAGGTTGCTATGAACTAGGCTGATGCCACTGAACTCTAGTTTGGGCAACAGAGTGACACTCTGTCTCAAAAAAAAAAAAAACACAAAAAACCTATTACTAATTTTTCTTTGCTATGTAGACAGTATTCTATATAACATATGGTAGAATATTCAGTATCCTACCACTTAAAAAGAGTTTACATATCACAATAAACTTTTGGGGGGTGGGGCAGGACAGGGTCTCTCTCTTAATGGGGTTTGCTTTCTTATTGTTGAGTTTATTTTTCATTCAGTATAGCATAGTGGATATACAGTTTGTATTGTAGTTAGGCCTTGAGCTGTGTGCCTGGGATTGAATCTTAGCTCTGTTTCCCACTAGCTGTGTGACCTAGTGTAAATCATCCATCCTCTCTGTGCCTCATTTTTCTTGTGTGTATCACTGGGATAATAGATGTTTCCTCTAAGTTGTTGGCAGGTTTAAATGAGAGAGGGAGACAGAGTATAAATATATGTTTGTACTTTTTAAAATAGTGTCTGGCAGATAATGTAGTACTTCATAAATATTATCTCCCTACTATTGTTATCCAACAAATAAATATTGGGTACTTATGTCAGTCATTGTATTGAGGATGGGAAGATCCACCTTAGAGGAATTCACAATTTAGTGGAGCTCAGGGCTGTACATCTTCTCTACTTTCAGCCGGTTCTTTTTTTCCTAAATCTTGTATCTTGTTGCCAAAGGAAGACATTCAAGGATTTACTGTTTCTCTTTTTTTTGAGACAGAGTCTCACTCTGTTGCCCAGGCTAGAGTGCCGTGGCATCAGCCTAGCTCACACTAACCTCAAACTCTTGGGCTCAGGCGTTCCTCCTGCCTCAGCCTCCCAAATAGCTGGGACTACAGGCATGAGTTCACCATGCCCGGCTAATTTTTTCTATATATATTTTTAGTTGGCCAATTGATTTCTTTCTATTTTTAGTAGATATGGGGTCTCGCTCTTGCTCAGGCTGGTTTCGAACTTCTGACCTTGAGTGATCCGTCCGCCTCGGCCTCCCAGAATGCTAGAAGGATTTACTGTCTTTAGTTTTACCTGATATTCAAAGAAATGGTTAGAAAATTGACCTGCCACCTTGATAAAAAATAAAATATTTTAAAGTCATTTTAAATTTTGTTTTCACAGATGCTTGTTTGCTACTCATGGGTGTAAGCAAGTTAGATATTATATATCGGAGACTTCTCCTCACAAAACTTTTTATCAGAGGATGGGGAAGGCCAGAAGATCTCAAAAGGTAAGCATGTTTTTCCTAAACACTTTTCTAGAATTTGTTTTTAGTAAATATCAAAGTTTTATTTCAGTTATAAAATCCTCTACTCTCAAATATAGAGTGATTGTCCAGCAAATTAAACATGAAACTATATAAAAAATAATTTTTTCCTTTAGTCTTTTTAGTTATTTCTCTTAATTTTTAGCCCATGTCATTATAAATTGAACTACTATAAAAATTCAGGTTTTAAAATAAAGAGCTCTCAGAAACATAAACTAAATTTTAAACTTCAGTAATATTAAGCTGAATAAAGTTGTATATAGTTTCCAGGCATTGAGTTTTCTTGGGTAACCTGAATTTGTAATGGCTATAAAACTGGAATACACTGTAGCTCATAGAAAAATCTGGATTTAAGAAAATGAATTTTCCGGCCGGGCACCGTGGCTCACGCCTGTAATCCTAGCTCTCTGGGAGGCCGAGGCAGGTGGATTGCTCAAGGTCAAGAGTTCGAAACTAGCCTGAACAAGAGCGAGACCCCATCTCTACTAGAAATAGAAAGAAATTAATTGGCTAACTAATATATATAGAAAAAAAAATTAGCCGGGCATGGTAGCGCATGCCTGTAGTCCCAGCTACTCGGGAGGCTGAGGCAGGACAATTGCTTGAGCCCAGGAATTTGAGGTTGCTGTGAGCTAGGCTGATGCCACGGCACTCACTCTAGCCCAGGCAACAAAGCGAGACTCTGTCTCAAAAAAAAAAAAAAAAGAAAATGAATTTTTAGGATTGGTACCTTTGGGTCTTCTGTGTGTTACTTTCTGAACAATGTTGTTTCTCACGTTTTTCCGAGAAAAGTGTCCAAAATCAACAACCTAATCTTTTTCTTTAATCATCACAATTAAATTTTATTAATATGGGTTATGAACTGGATTTGCTAATTTTTAATTATTATTCATCAGTCTCAATTATAATGGGCATAATAGGTGGTATAAAAGGTGAAGTTTTTTCTTTTTTGTCTTCTTTCTCATAACAGGCTCTTTGAATTCAGAAAGGTGATTGGAAATCGAGAAAGATGCCAGAATCTAGTTTCAAGGGATTATCCTGTATACATTGATAAGGTATTCAAATGAAAAAAATACAATTGTAGATATTCTAGTTTAACATAAGTATGTTGGAGTATAACAACAATAAACACTAAAAGATGAATGCAGTATGGATTTTTCATTTAATAATTAAAGAATGCTATTCATACCCTAACTGGGTGTTTTTAATAACTATATTCATGTATATTTGGGACTATATATTTAGTACTTGCCTAAATATAGGAAAGTTTTTAGGCTGGATCTTTCTTAGTTTCATTTTAATATCTTTAAATAAGAGGTTTGAGTAAATAATTCAATATTATAGAAGAATAGTAAGTGTTAAAGGGGAGTAATCTAGTTGGAGAATCAACACATAAGGAGTTTTTTTTTTGTTTTTAAGACAGAGTCTCACTCTGTTGCCTGGGCTAGAGTGCCGTCACATTAGCCTTAGCTCACAGCACCTCAAAACTCTGAGCTCAGAAGAGATCCTCCTGCCTCAGCCTCCCAAGTAGCTGGACACAGGATGCCACCATGCCAGCTAATTTTCTATATCATTTATTGGCCAATTAATTTTTCTATGTTTAGTAGAGACGGTCTCGTTCTTGCTCAGGCTGGTTCGAAGTCCTGACCTTGAGCTATCCGCCTCAGCCTCCAGAGTGTAGGATTATAGGCATGAGCCACCGCACCCGCGCAACATATAAGAGTTATTAGCAAAAAATTGTTAAATAACAACCAAAATTTTATCGAACAGTGAGATGCTATGATGAGAAGAGAAGAATGCCAAAAATTAGGAGAAGATAAAGTTTTAATTTTTTTCTTCCTTGTTTTGTTGAGCAGAGTTTGCTGTTGCCCCAGGTAGAGTGCAGTGCATCCATATAGTCACTGCAGCCTCAAGTCCGGCTCACCAGTCTCCTGCCTCAGTCGCCTTAGTAGCTGGACTAGAAGCCACACGACAATGCCAGCAATTTCATTATAGGATAAGTCTACGTGTCAGGCTGGTACACTCGCTCCATGATCCCCGCTGGCTCCGAAAGTGCTAGGATTACAGGTGTGAGCACGTCCTGGCTTTACTTGGTTTTTAAGCAGCCAACTGATTTTCTGTAAAATATTCTAGGTTATGTAATTGGATACTTTGAGGTACTGTTGGAGAAAGGATAAAATGGGGTGGGCCTTCACACATACCTCATTCCTCTTCAACAAAGTAACTCTACTTGTATATCTTATGTTATTGCACATTTTTAGATTTTTTTTCAAAATTTCCACTGCTAAAACCAAAATTTTGTAAATTGAAATCCTTCCTGTACATCACACTTGTTCCTTCTGTATCTTTAGATTTAGAACATTTTCTTAACTCTCAAATTTTGCAAATATTTCTATTTTATTTGTATTAAAAATTATAGGCTTAAATAAAACAAATGAAAGCATACCAAGTAAAATCAAAAGTCTCCCTAATCTCGCCATTTTCTAGCGCCTAATTTTATCTCCCTCCCAAAGGAAATTACTGTTAAGATTTTGAGTACATTCTTACAGACCTTCCACCTTAGTTTTAAAATTGAGATATAATTCACATACCATAAATTTATCCTTTTAAAGTATACAGTTGATGTTTTTTAATTATTACCAAGGTGTGCAACACCTCCTTCCACTGTTAATTCCAGAACATTTTCATAGTCCTAAAAAGAAAGCATGTACCCATTCGCTGTTATTTTCTATTGCCTCTGCCCCGTCTTCTGGCAGTCACCTAATCTGGTTTCCGTATCTATGGTCTGCCTATTTGGACATTTTATAAAAGGAATCATATATATGTAGACCTTTGTGTCTGGCTTTTTCACTGTAATATGTTTTCAGGTTTATTCATATTGTATCATGTACAGTACTTCATCCTTTTTTCAAAACATCAGAGCATTCAATTAAAACTTCATCTTTCTATGGCTGAATAATATCCCATTGTTACGATTACCACATTTTGTTTATCCATTCATAAGTTGTTCAATTTGGGCTATTATAAATAATGCTGCTATGAACATTGTGTACAAGGTTTTGGTGAACATATGTATGTTGGTTCTCTTATGTGTGTACTGAAGAGTTTATTGTTGGGTCATATGGTACTCTTTAACTTTTTTTTTTTTATTTCAGCATATTATGGGGTACAGATTTAAGGTTTCAATAAATGCCCATTCCCCCTCCCCCACAAGTCTGAGTCTCCAGCATGACCATCTCCCAGATGGTGCACATTCTCACTCATTATATATGTATATACCCTCCCCTCCCCTGCCCAATCCCTATTACTGCAGTACACATGTGACCACTTAGGTGTGTTCAGTTAATACCAATTTGCTGGTGAGTATATGTGTGGTGTTGTTTTTCCATTCTTGGGAACTTCACTTAATAGTATGGGTTCCAGCTCTAACCAGGAAAATATAAGATCGTGCTATATCACGCATTGTTTCCTAGAGCTGAATAGTACTCCATGGTAAAGTATACCATTTTATTAATCCATTCTTGGATTGATGGCACTTGGGCTGTTTCCACAGCCTTGGAAATTATGAATTGGCTGCTATAAACATTCGAGTGCAGGTGACTTTGTAGAGTTCAGTGGATCGTTTGGGTAGATGCCCAGGCAATGGAATGGCGATCAAATGGTAGATTCACGTGTATCGCTTTAAGGTATGCATCCATATTGCTTTCCACAGAGTTGAACTAATTTGCAGTCCACCAGCGAGTGTAGGAGTATAGAATTTTTTATTTCATCTTGATTCTTCATTTATGAAGTAATCATTTAGTAGGAGGTTGTTTTAATTTCCACGTTTTTTGTAGAAATGTGAGTTTCTGTTAAGGTTGATTTTACTTTATTCCACTGTGATCTGAGAAGATACATGGTATGATTTCTATTTTTTTTATCTTGAGTTTACTTGTGTCCTAGGATATGGTCAATCTTAGAGATGTCCGTGAGCTGATGAGAGAACGTATAGTCAGTGATTTGGGTAGATCTGTTAATGTCAGTCAGACCACATTGTCTAGAGTTTGTTAATTCGATTTTCTTATAATTTTGTGTTGGAGGATCTGTCTTGTGCCGTCAGTGGGTGTTGAAATCTCCGGTGATTATGGAGTTGCTATTAATCCATTTGCTTAGGTCCAGTAAGTTGCTTTATGAATCAGCGGTGCACCTAAGTGGTGCATATATGTAAAATGTTATCTCTTCTTGTTGAAGTGTGCCTTCACCATTATTAATGACCCTCTTTGCTTTCACTACTTTTGTGTGTTAAAACTAAATCGTCTGAAATTAGAACTGCCACACCAACCTTTTGGCTTCCACTTGCTTGGAATACTGATCTCCCCTTTTTACTTTTAGTCTATATGCATCCGCAGGTTAGATGTGTTCCTGAAGACAGCATATAGTTGGCCTGTATTCTTATCCATTCAGCCAGCCTGTATCTCTTGAGTGAGTGTTAACTTTTGAGAGCTGTCAAACTGTTTTCCAAAGTGACTGCCCCATTTTATTTTTTATTTATTTATTATTTATTTATTTATTTTTTGAGACAGAGTCTCGCTTTGTTGCCAGGCTAGAGTTGAGTGCCATGGCTCAGCCTAGCTCACAGCAACCTCAAACTCCTAGGCTCAAGCCATCTCCTGCCTCAGCCTCTAGCTAGGACTACAGGCATGCACCACCATGCCCAGCTAATTTTCTACTATATATTAGTTGGCCAATTAATTTCTTTCTTTTTATAGTAGAAGACAGGGTCTCGCTCTTGTCGGCTGGTTTTGAACTCCTGACCTCGAGCAATCCGCCCGCCTTGGCCTCCCAGAGTGCTAGGATTACAGGCGTGAGCCACCGCGCCCGGCCCCATTTTTATATTCTTACCAGCAGTATATAAATCTTCTAATTTTGCCATGTTCTTGGCAACATTTGTATTTGTCCAAGCCATCTTGGTGGGTGTAAATGTATTTCATTGTGGTTTTGACTGGCATTTCACTAATGACAATGAGGCTAAACATCTTTTCATGTGCTTATCGGCCATTTGTATGTCTTCTTTGGAGAAATGTCTTTTTGTATCATTTGCTTATTTTCAAATTGAGTTATTCCTCTTTTTGTTGAGTTGTAGCTTAATTTTAAAATCTCTAATATGTATATTATGATGTATAGGTCTAAAATTCTTTTTTCTTTCCAAATTGCCAGCTATGCAAACACTATTTATTGAATTATTATTCTCTTCCACATTAGTTTGTTCTTCCTCCTTTATTAAATAATAATTTATTAGCTTGTGCTTCTCCTTTATCAAATAACTTATTCTTCTAAAATATATAAGAAAACTTTAAACCTATACTAATAGGCATAAAAAAGACTAAACTGGAAAGACTTTTGGATTAAAACTTGAAAAATCTGAAGCATTATTAATGCTCCTTAAGCATTTCTTAAAATGCAATAAAATTCCAATTAATGTATTTGATTTAGAACTTAGATCCATAAAAGCATCCTAAAATTATTTGAGGAAAATATATGAGAGAACAATCAGATGAGGAATACTCTGAAAAGGAAGAGTGATAAGGAAAGATAGGTCATTCATATATCAATGAGTATTACAAAGCTGCCGTTATCACCACAGCGTGATATTGGCACAGAAATAAAAGATAGACTAATAAGACCTAATAAGGGATTAAAAATAACTTACAGAAGTTTATGGAAATTTAGTATATGATCAAGTAGTATTTTAAGTCAGTTGCAAAAATATGTGGATTATTTAATAAATGACATTTGCACAACTGGCTAGAATCTGTGTTTTTTTAAAAAAAGCTAGATGTATACAGCAGCCACAGATACAGTTTTATGTTTCTGATTTTAATGAAAATATTCGGTAATTTACTATTACTTTAATTTTGACTATTGGCCTAAAACAGATTTTTTTCCAGAAATAATTATTTGAGGGAAAAATAAGTATAATGTTAAATGTTAGCAAATGCCTTTTTTTTATTATATAAATGTAGAAATCACTTTTTTTCTTACTATGTTGATGTGATTGATTTCATCAATAGATTGCCTAATACTGAACCACTGTAACATATATGATGTCAATTCTTACTTAGTTATAGCAAATCATTCTTATGATTATTTTTACATTGTTGAATGTTATTCTCTTAGCTAGTATTTGAGTTGTTGCATGTCAATCAATGTATGAATGAGATTTATTTAGAGTTTATTTTCCCAACTAAATTGTGGTAAAGGATATCGAAAGAAAAGAAACATGTGTGGGTAGGAACTGTGTTTTTTTCTTTACCTTTTTTTTTTTTTAAATGGAGACAAGGTCTTGCTCTTGTTCTTGCTCAGGCTGGTCTCAAACTCCTGAGTTCAAGCTCTCCTGCTTCGGCCTCTCAGAGTGCTACAATTACAGGCAAGAGCCACTGTGCCCAGCATTGGAACTATGTTTTTAAAAAGCGCTGGTGGTGGGGTTTGAGTGGGCACAAAAAGGATACATTAGTAGTCACTGAAAAAAAGTATTTAATTGAATAGAACTTTTTATTAGAAAAACATGCATGATAGACCAAGGTATCTTAGTCTACCTGCATACATCTTAGTTTTGATTTTCTTTTAGATTGAAGAGCAGTCAGACTGTAAGATCCTAGATGGACACTTTGTTTCCCCCATGGCCCATTATGTGCCTGGTATCATGCCAATTGAATCTGTTATTGCAAGGTAAGAATTTTTGTCCAGAAAGTTAAACTATTTAGTCATTTATGTTCATTAAAATTATAATATCATGTTCAACACCATGTTATTTCAGATTACTCAGGAATAACAAGGCAGGTCTAAATTACTGAAAAGGATGAATTAGAAGATATTTTAATTCTTCTAAAGATAAAAGTGGTATATGTACAAGGATGTTCATTGAAGCACTATATATTGTTGCAAAAAATGGATAATGCCTAAATGTTCAACAATAAGGGATTCATTCATTATCCATACTGTGGATACTGTTATTGACATGGAAATATGGTCACAATATGTGAAAGTTTAAGATGCACACATAGAATCACACAGAAAAGTTTCCAAAGGATATATATGAATGTGCCAGTCATATATATCTCTGAGTGAAGAGATTTTTGGCTTCTAAAATTTCAGTTTAAAAATTTTAAAATGTACGTGTGTTGCTTTTGTAATAGGAAGAAAAAGATATATATATATATATTTTGTTGTTGTTGTTGACGACAGAGTCTCGCTCTGTTGCCCAGGATAGAGTGCCATGGGCATCAGCCTAGCTCACAGCAACCTCAAACACCTGGGCTCAAGCAATCCTCTTGCCTCAGCCTCCCAAGTAGCTGAGACTACAGGCACACGCCACCGTGCCCCGCTAATTTTTTTTTTTTTTAGTTGTTTGGCTAATTTCTTTCTATTTATAATAGAGATGGGGTCTCGCTCTTCTTGCTCAGGCTGGTCTCCAACTCCTGAGCTCAAGTGATCCGCCCCCCTCGGCCTCCCAGAGTTATAGGCCTGAGCCACTGCGCCAGGCCTAGATATTTTTAATTGAAGAAACTAAAGAATGTGTAGTAACTCAGACTAGTCAGACTACATAGTTTTGGAAAGTAAATCTCTTCAGGATGATTTGTAATTAGCATATCAGTTTGTGAATTATAGATAATGTAAAATACCCGAAGTTCTTAGGTAGGTAGTTATACAATAGTTGAAACGTGGCTTTTTGGATCTTCTTTATACCATTAATTTGCTTTGTTGAAATGTTCATCACAGATAGTACAGGGGTTAGTTTTAGCCCAATCTTTTTAATTCTAAATCAGTGTTTAAGTTAGGTCTTTCCAGGGTTTTCTGTTTTATTTTTTTACCTAATTGTATTTAAAAAGGAACAAGATACTTTACTTTTTTCTTTTCATTGTTTATAATAAACCATTTGCTGCATCTGGTAAGTGGTTTCTCCTTTTAAGACTTTCTTTTCCAGTAGCAATGATAAAATAGCAGTGATACCTATATGTGTGTGTGAAAAATTCTTTAATCAAGAAGAGAGTATTCTGTAACGAAAACATACTTAAACTTTTATGTGAGCACATTGGAATCCTGAATTCCAATACATTCAGAACCTATAAATGAACCTATAAAGTGTGAACTAACAGAAAGGAATTTGATAGACCTAATTTTTAACTATTATAGTCAGCTGTCTATTATTTCATTATCCTTAATGTATTATTTAAAATTTGTTTTTCTGTTGATAACTTCAAAATAAAAGGCTAGTATCGTGTAGTGGAAAGAACCACAACTTTGGAATTAAACAGATTGGGGATTGAACCCTGGCTCCACTACTTATTCACCTAATGACCTTTGGTCAGTTACTTAATCTCTGAAACAGGCTTTATAAAGTAGAACTAAGAACACTTATCTCACAGGGTTGTTAAAAGGAATAAATGGAATGAATGAAAATTGTGTGCAGGGAATATAGAAAGCATTAAATAAATGTGTAGCTCTTTTAAATGTGCTTTGTCTTACTTATACTTTATAAAAGAATTAAAAGCTCTTTAGCCGTAGGCCAAAGGATGTGGAAGGAAAAGAAATTGGGGGTTTCTAGATGACATCAGTTCACTCCTTGGAATTGTGTCCCCTTCTTGTAGATTTTCTACCTTATCTGGAAAGTTACAAAGGCTTATAAGCATAAACAAAGGAGAAAAATTGTGTGCTTTGCCTCAGACTAAGAAATACTACTTAAGGCTGGGCGCGGTGGCTCATGCCTGTAATCCTAGCTCTCTGGAAGGCCGAGGCGGGCGGATCGTTTGAGTTCAGGAGTTCGAAACCAACCTGAGCAAGAGCGAGACCCCCGTCTCTACTATAAATAGAAAGAAATTAATTGGCCAACTAATGTATATCCAAAAAATTAGCCGGGCATGGTGGCACATGCCTGTAGTCCCAGCTACTCAGGAGGCTGAGCAGCAGATCGCTTGAGCCCAGGAGTTTGAGGTTGCTGTGAGCTAGGCTGACACCACGGCACTCACTCTAGCCTGGGCAACAAAGTGAGACTCTGTCTCAAAAAAAAAAAAAAGAATACTACTTAATATCTATTGGGAATTGAGGAAGTGACTTCCAACTAACAAATGGGGAAACAGGTGACTTCCTATCTCTGCAGTAGCATATTTTTACTGCATAATTTATTTTGATGGAATACTATAAACTCCCAAGTGATGTACCTTGATACCGTTTTTTTTCTTCCTTACCCCATATTTTTGGACAGCAGTTTATCTCATTGCATTAAAATATAGAATGTACAAAAAAAAAAGAAGAAAAAATTATGGCAAGGAGGGATAACTGCTTTTTCTGTATATTCTCTAGTCTTTTTCTATGTATGCCATATAAAACTGTGTTTATTTCTCTTTTGACCTAAAATGACATCAGGTGATTGCCGTCTATCATCAGTTTGTTGCATTATATTCCATACTGTGGCGCTACCATAATTTATAATCCTATGGTTGGCATTTAAATTGCATTGGTTTTCATTATATAACAACATCCATAGCATCCTTGTTATACTCTCTTTGCTACTTCTCTGAGTATTCTCTTGCCATAATACTACATGTAGAGTTTCTGAGTTTATAGGATTTTCACATCAGACAAGACCACAGGAGATAAGGAAAAGTAACAAAAGAAAAAAATTTGCACAGATTTTTAAACTTTTGATCAATTGGTCATAATAAGTAATAATAAGAAGTGTTAATAATGTATTT